GTGTTGTCTTAAAAACTCTGATGTTTAGTGCGCCACAGTTTGGAAATCAGGTCAGTCGATCAATTCTGATGTGACCTTACTCACCTTGGCAGTGTATCAAAAGACGGCTTCACTTCCGAGGTCGTCCCTCCACAGTCACAGGTAAATTCGATTTTTTGTTCCTAAACAACAGCACAGAGAAAACAGGCTTTATGGTAGAAAAAAAAATAATCACAACCTATGCGCACACACAAGATCAGTGATACTACATCTCTACTGGAATTTGTGATCTTACCTTCAAGTATGTCCCTAACATGTCCTCAACAGACCCCTCTGGAACAGGTCAAGGAGACAAGCTCGTGAATTCCTCTTGCTGTGATGATTGGTGACCGCAGCTACACATTTCAGGAGTAACGTAGTTAAAGTAAAGATCAGGTAGGTGGAAAAGAGGTATATGAAAATATTGCAACCAGCTCTGCGTTTCTGAAAGACAGGCTTACCTCTTGCATGTCCTCATGTTTTCCATTTTAAAAATGTGATGCTCTTCTACTGGGCAGGTATAACTTTGGCCCAGGAGAGCTGCGTTCCTCTCCAGGTGAGGTGCGAGCCTTTTGACCTCATTGAGGAACAATGTTAGGAATTCATGAGCGTCCTGAAAAAAAACACAGAGAGATTTAAAACAGTAACATAAACATTTAGAAGGTAAAGCAAAAAACAAAAATGTCCAAATAGCTGACGCTTTCTGTGCACTGCCTTGTATTCAGGAACCTGTTTGCTGAATGCCTTCTTAAAAGATATTAGGCGTAGGGCTGCTCAATTAATCGAATTTTAATCACGATTACGATCTGGGCTTTCAACGATCATTAAAAATGACTGAGCCGATTATTAGCCCCTCCCTCATTTATCCGCGACACCTTAAAGGCCGGTCCGTGAAAATATTGTCGGGCATAAACCGGTCCGTGGCGCAAAAAAGGTTGGAGACCGCTGATTAAGAGGACCCGAGGGAAGCTCGGAAAGCTAAGCAGAAGTTATTTGGAGAGGAGAGTGACTGCCGTTGGTTGAAAAGAGAGTTTAAAAAAAAAAAAAACTTCAGTGGTGTTGCACACTATTTTATATTATTTTTTTAAAGTCATTGTTAACCCTTTAAAGCCGGTCAGAGCAGCACGCTCCGTTTTGCGTAACTATTTTTAAATCCCTGTAGAACCTGAACCGTGTAAGCTAGCGCAATAATTTGTTTTGCATATGAAACCGGAGGAGTTGTACTTACATCTGATGCCATCAGCTTGTCCTCGGTCACGGTTTCGTTCCACATATAGCTTTGCAAAAATTGCATAAAAAGCGCTTGCAGGAACAAAAACATAATATTCCAGAAACACGCTTTGCCGTTCCTATCAGCTGTTCGTAACACTTCCCACAGTGAAATGATGCACCTGCTGTTTTCTTTGCAAATTTGCATCATAGGATTGTTTTTTGTTTTTCCTGCAGTATATAAAAATTGCTGTATCTCCAAAATAAAACTATGAAGACACTCAAAATAAATTTCCTGTGGTGGGAAACTATTTTTTGCAACTTTATTGTATTTAAAGTTTTGAGGGATAAACCTCTTAAATTTCTCCAAGTAGAAATATATGTAAACAAAACAAAAGCGATTTTCAATTTTTTTTGTAGTTTATTGCACTTTTTTGCAATTTATGTAATTACTATGGACTTAATGCATACATATTATTAAAATATGGGCTATAACAGTTGTATTGATGTATAGCAACTTGAAATGCTCCCACAAATGGCACTACAGCATGTAAAAAAATAATATAAGCTCTGGTGGACTTGGTTCTATAGTAGGTCTTAAAGGGTTAAATAAATATCGTCAAATAATCGTAGATCTCAATTTCAGTGAAAATAATCGTGATTATCATTTTTGCCATAATCGAGCAGCCCTATTAGGCGCGTTTTAAGGTAATAATCTCTTGATTCATGACAGTTCCTGATGTTCATGAGCCTTCTGTAAAAAGGAAAGGATAAACAGACATTTCTGGTGTTAGATATCTTTGTTCTTCAGGTTTCTGAAGAAAGTAGAAGGTTGACGTAGCGCACCTTAAGAGCCGAGCTTCTGGACTTGCTCTCGTTTAAACATTTTGGAGGACGTTTTTCTCTTACATGTCAAACACCTGCTCCAATACATCCTCTTGTGCCAGAAACTCCATAATCAAAGTGTCCCAACTCAGGTCTGATGGCTCACTATGTTCAGTGGTGTTTCTAACCTGGTTGGAACTTTCACCACATTCCTTATGGGTGCTGCTGGATGCAGAAAGAAGAAAGGAGTCAGGGATGCATAGCAAGCACAACAGGACAACAAACAAACATTATCTCTCTGGAGAACAGCATTCAACCATCTAATGCTTACTTTGATCAGCAATCGGCCAAAATATTAAAAGCACTTACCTGGGATTGTCTGTAGTTATGACCTGTACACTAGGTCCTCTGAACTGTTCAGTGGAGGCTTGACGTCCAGTTCTTGGCCTTTTGTTTCCCTTACTTGTCACTCTTTTTATCAGGTTCCCCTGTTGTTTCTGAAGCAACCAGTTCTCGACCTTTTGTTTCTAGGCAGTCTTCTTTTGGTGGTGCTGCCTCGGCAGGTGTACAGTCCTGCTGCATGTTCTTTAATCTGCAAAAATATACAAATATATAGAAGATTAAGTATGAAATCTGCAACCAGAAGGATCCCAAAAGAATTTTGCTTTAAAGTGAGAAGATTAAAGTTTCCCTTACTTGTCACTCTTTTTATCAGGTTCCCCTGTTGTTTCTGGAGCAACCTGCCTTCTTCTCTGTAGAAAGAAACCAAAAGACAGGACATAGCTGTGTGCTTCATTGCTCTTAATTGCTCCCATTTCATTGTGATGAATAAATGCTTGATGATAGTGACTCTTTCCATAAAACATACCTTCCAGAATTTGAAAATAGACCAGCGGGACTTTTTCTGTGGCTTTACAGTGGGGCTCTCTGCCTCTGTATCGCTGTCAGTTTCCTGTAGAGAACGAACAAACATAATGTTATTAAAAAAGAAAAGTCACTTAAAATTAACAAATACATTTTAAGGAAAATATGCATTTCATATGTCTTCTGTATAAGCAAACCGAGAAACAGCAGAAGAAGTGTCTCCATTTTATTTTCTTCTTCTTCTTTATACCATTTTCATGGTTAGGTGTTGTGGCAGCAACAGAAGCATCCGGGACGCTGATCGAGGACAAAAGTGTAAATGTTATTTTTCAAAGTGGAAATTTTTAACAAGGAGCGCATCCTGGATATTGCAAATAAAAAATAATAACTGTTATGAAATGTAATGAGATGTAAGGAGCTCTCTGATTGGTCCATCTCTGAGGCCGTCTCTCCTGCATGAAGTCCAGGCGCTGGTTTTCCAGTGTGTGCATCTGTCACACCATCAATGGCTGCAGTATGGAACAGATGTGGGTGTGTCCTCATCTCCCAGAGGAGTCCAAATCATCATCAAACAGCCCTACAGACACAAAAACGTGAAAATATAAACAACCAGACTATCAGCAGTGATTTAACTACTTTAAGACCTCTGTGAAAATCATTTACAGTATATATCACAGAATTTAAGGCCTTTATAATCACAGAGCATACAGAGAAAAGTACTAAACTGAATCAATTTCAGCTTTCGTTTTTCATGATGTATATTGTATTAATAATTAAATTTCATTATCTGTGTCTTTACCACACATTTGCCACACAGGTGTAGATACTGTAGGTTCAGTGAATGCTTAAATTGCACTGATTAGAATATACTGGACATTCAAAGCTAAGATTCAGCGCACTGTGTTAGAGGCTGGGATTTGATGAATTCATCATATATACAACCTTTGATCATCATTTATGTCCAGTTGAGAATGAATCTGTGCACTCACATATTAAATGAACTGAAATCAGTAGTGTGATCTCCAGTCTTGATATAAGGAATGAGAGAACTGACAGCTGTTATTTTAATCAGCCTGTCTCAGTTGTTTTAACTCTAAGTATCATAAAGTAATGTGGTAACATCTGGACTGACGAGTTTACTGTCAGCATTTTAATCGCTAGTTTAAAGGCTGTAGGCTGCAGCCATTGCTCTAACACTGTATAAATGTAACAGGCCTCAGTGCTGGTTCTAATAGTCTGAGCTGCTTCCAGCTTTATTTGTGAAGAGCACAGCAGCTTACAAAACACGTAGCTAGCTCGTACAGCTGCACGTAAAAATTTCATAAGCTAAGATGACCTTAAAATAATGGGGCTAAGTGCGGTGATGCTAGCGTTAGCCATGTTAGCACGTTACCTTCAACAGGTGGTCAGACTGCATAAACAGGCACTCAGTCAGAGGTTGCGCTCTCCATTTTGCTGCAGGGTCCCTTCATTCTTCACATATCCGTGTTGAGCCGAGTGTAAATCCCGAGGCTGAACGGCCTTTGTACAAGTACACACGTCTTAGCATGGCGAAGCTATGAGCTAGAAAAATCCAGGCAGACAGCCTGTGTCTGATCCAACCAATCAGAGAGCTCCTTACATCCCACGGTGTGGCTAATTTGAATAGCCACAGGATTTTTAAAATGAAGTTGTTAATCAACAGCTAATCCAGCAGTATCCCTGGCGCAACAGAAAGAGAGAAATGGATTTTGAAATGCAGTTTATTAAAGTGCAATTGGAAAAAGGTTTTTGAAATGAGTTTATTAATTGGAATTCAAAAATGTTTTTTGAAATGAAGTTTTTAAAAAGCATTTTAAAAATCAGTTTATTAAATTGGAATTCAAAAATGAATTTACAAATGGAGAATTTATTCTACAATTCATTATTTTGGCTCTTGTGGTCCTCCATAAAAAACAGTCATCATGTAGCAGGAAGCATGAAGTTAAAATCTTGTAAGTGGTACAATAAAGTTTTCATCCTGAAGTGATATCATTGTTCCAGGATAAATGTCTTGTCTGAACAAAAGTTGCCACTAGTCAGGGAGATGCTAACCAGGTGCTGGGTTAGTTCAAATCCAGCCTAGAGCATTTCTATGTGAGATTTGCATGTTCTCCCTGTGCCTGTTTGCTCTGTGTTCTCTGGTTTCCTCCTACACTTAAAAAATTATTTACAGGTTAGGTAACTGGTCATTCTAAATTGGATGTAGGTGTTCAATGCTTGTCTGTCTCGCTGTTTTATCTCTGTGACATGTGTACCGGGCTTGCCCCATGACATCTAGGTTAGGCTACAGCTACTCTGTGGGGGAAAATGAATGGATGGTCTCGTCTAAGTCATGTACCCAGATTAATTTTGGGGTAAATTATATAATGCTACTGTTTTTCTCAAATTATGGAGACAAGAATCATAAGGATGACCACCATGTTAAAACTGAGGCTTCAGATTACATTACATAGGTGGTCCATTTTATTATACAGTATTTAGTTCAGCCACAGTTAAACAGAGATGACAGATCACATCAGATTTTCCTTAGTCCAGCATATCACTGATTTATAAAGCTTTACTGAATGATTTCTCAGCATAAAATTATTTATTACAACATAAATGTTTATGCCACTCTGTCTAAAGATCATTTGCGCCAGACTGGATCCTGTTACAGGCTCCCCAGGTGAGAGTTCTTGTCAAAAATTTTTAAAAAGAGCTAGAATGTCACCAATACGCTCTTCTACATCTCCCTCCCTACTTTATACATAGCGGACAGATGGAACTAGGCTATCGGTTTGCTAAAGTTAGCCACGCAATTAGTTCACACACTAATTAGCTGTGAGAGGCAGAGGCACACCAGATTTCCCCAGTGTCTAAAACCCGTTTCCCAGCCTGAAAAAGAGTAAATGAGGTCCTGGCAAAGACAGCAGAAAATATCCAGAAAGAAAAACATGGCAGCTCATACAACAACATTTATCAAAGAGTGGCGAGTGGCGTTGTTATGGGAAATGTGAATGGAAATTTTAATCCTTCTTTGTGGGAGAAACAAATATTCCACATTGCCTAATCAGGAGTAACTCAAACATCTATATCTGTTTTATATAATATCATAATATATATATCAGCGGGAGAAAAAGAAAGAATTTAGATGGTGTCTAAACTTTCCATGAACCCTCCCCCACTTTTGTTTATCACCGAATAATCTTGTAAAAATTAGACCATCTTAGGGCTTTAATTTCATGTAAATATCTCTCATCCTGCCCTCCTTGCTGCTGGGATGAACTATGGTTTCACTTTAGGGCCAAGGGGTTCTTTAAAAAGCCAAATTCCCACATGCTTCTATTTGTTTTTACTGCTAGCCAAATGTTTTACTTCACTGGAAAGAGAAAATAATGTCTGGTGAGTGTTCCTGCAATGTGTGGGCATGTGTGGAAGCACATGTGTATGAGTGTATACTGAGGGGAAACTGCACGCCCGAGAATGTGGAAGAAATACAAAACAATTAAAGCTCTGTTAAGAGAGTGCAGTGCTGGCAGGCATCTCATATCAGGTGCAGCAGAGACCCAACAATGGAATGCTCTGAGGTGGTGAGCAGATCTATGTCAGACGTCTCACTTGTCATGAAAAAGGCCCAGATGCTTCACTTGATGGACAGTCTGGACACATTAGCCATTCAAAATGGACACAAGTCATGAGAAGGTCAACTTGATGCCTTCAACCTTGCATGAAATCCCTGCAATTTCCCTGCAAAGTCTTTGATGAGAATCATTCCTGTTTGCTCTGATTTTTTTCTGGCCTGGTTCACTGATCAGGTCACGCAGTAAGAGCCAGTTTTATCATTTCTATTTATGGTAATGCCTCCAACTAGCACAGCTATAGTCTTTAAACCAAATCTCATTTTCATCAATGGTATCATCTCAAAGCACATTACTTTTCAGTTTCAACATTTGACAAAAGTAGCAGAAATCACACATTTTCATCATCTGGGCCTTTTGTTTTAGGCAAAGAAGGAGGGAAATATTTGAAGCTTCCCATTCCAGGGAACATTTTGTAACAATCAGGTTTCTGAGCAGTGTCCAGCAGACTTCACATTGTTTCTCTAAGGGGGAGAAAAAAAATTCTCTGGCATCATATGAAAGCGGGGGAGGCCTGATTGGAACATTAGCTATTCATGCACTTGTACTTCCCTGGGGGGACGGGATCGGGAATCCCACCCATTTACCAGAAAACGAGAACGTCTCAAGGAAACTGATCCCGATCTGATGGATCTGGGTGGAGCTCTGTTAAGCTGTTTTTCCTTTCACTTTTAGACCAAATCTTTTTCAGAATGTAATATTCTAAAAAGAAAAAAAAATACTTCTTTCTTTTTAAGATATTTAGCTGAAACTCCTTTCCAGAGCTGACTGACAGTTGACTGACAAGTCAAAATTTAAATTAAAAGAGAGAAAAATGTTCAAATCTAGTTCTTTTCCCTTCTTGATTTTTTTTGTATGATCATTTTCATCTACAAAAACCTAATTAACCAGCCGATACATTAAATAGTCTGTGAAGACAAATACAAACAAAGCATATATTTAGTATTTATTCTGTTTCTATCCCACACATCAAGCGAGCACAGAGTAAAATGAACATTCATTCAGGGTTGGGCTCTGGATGTACCTCTGTTTCTCTTTTTGGTACTGGGCATGTTTGTATGCATACAATGAGTTAATCGGGGCATTTACTGTATCCTTCTTCAGTTGCTTGCTTGTGAGTTGTTCATCATTCAGTTTTGTAGTCAATAACTGAAAAGCATGCTCTGTTGTGTTGAGATCAGGTGACCCACTTGGTCACTGAAGAATATATCATTTCTTTGTCTTGAGAAACTCCTACTTTTGCGGTATGCTTTGGATTGTTATCCATTCGCAATGTGAAGAGTTGTGTTCTGTTTAGCTGAATGTGAGCAGAGAGTATAACTCTGTACATCCCACAATTCATCGTTCACATCATCAACGGCTGTTTTAACCTCTTTGCAGACCTCTTTCCATTCATGAAGCCTTCTCTAGATCGTAAACTATGATATGTCTAGCTCCTATAAAGCATTCTTGATTTGTTGTGAAGCAGTTTTCCTTAACCATGGAAATAATTCTGTCATCATCCACGTCTGAGGTATTTCAGTCCTTCTGGTGTTGCTGAGCTGACCACTTCTTTTTAAGAATGTAGAAGATTGCTGATTTGGCCGCTACTGAATCTTCCAATGAATAGCCATGAAATGCAAGTTCAATATGTGGAATCACCTCCATTTCTTTTATCTGCCTAATTTGTCATGGAATAATGAGAGAAATTGCCCCTTTTGCCGTGAATTGTCTAATTACATGTTAGCCTCTGAAAAATGGGCCCTATGTCTAAAAATGGCCATATATTTCTGGCCCATTTACACCAATGAGGTGCCATAAATAGTGTAGGAATTCTGTGTGTCAAAGACCCTGAACCCTACAAGGCCCTAAGGACTGAAGGCATGCGTGAGCCACTGCCTCGTAACTTTCCTTTTTCTTCAGTGACAGAGAGCCTATTTATGTCCGCATTTTGAGAATAAATCACATTTGGGAAACATTTTCATGAAACTTTTTCTTCCTTTATGAGCAGTGATGATAGCGGCCTCTCTGAAGGCATATGCAGACAAATCCAGAGTTTGTGTTCAGATTGTTTGTGCAAATCCAAGCCAGTGAGAGATAAGGACAGAGACAGAACGGCTGAGACAAATGTGCGTCCACATAATCCACGTAACTGTTTTACCTAGACTGAATTCTAGACAGATAGATGAATGAACAAGGTGCCAGAAAGTCCCAAGGTTTTGAAAACTGATATTATCACCACCACCTTACTTGATAAACCTCAGCCACCTAATGCTCAAGGTAAACAAAATCAGCCTTCAGGAATTTCCCCGTTCCCATAAACGTATTATTCAAACCAGATCAAATCCACTTTTTTGTTTCTTCCTCTTTTATTTTTTGTTTTTTAATTTTTATTTTTATTTTCGTAGTTTCTTTGTGGTTTACTTGCAGTTAGTGCGCTACCAATCCGTTAACATAAGCCACATACAAATGCTATGTTAATTGATACATTTATATACTGTTGTAAAGAGGGGTTCAGCCACGGTCAGACATCTGAAGGGTCAGGGGGTTGTTGCAAGTAAGTTTCTGTTAAACCTCCAAGAGTGATTCTATTTTCTGAGGCACCTCTGACACTCATCTAGACCTCAACAATGCCCCCTTTCTCCTGTCTGCCTCACGCTTGGCTGGCCTCTCTGAATACGACCCAGGGTGAAATAATCCATACTCCTGATCCCCCACACAGCACTTATATAAAGAGCACCCACCTAACCACACATGCAAAGCTACACATTTTAGTCCTTAAATGTTTTTGGGAGCTCATTGAAACACATGCATAACCTCGTATAGAGTTGGCAGCCGTCTGCAACTTTAAACCTCAACAAACTATAATTGAGAATTCACATTTGCAAAGGACAATAAATAAAGCACACATAAAAAACGAGTTGGTGCACATAAAAGATACAGAAAACGTGTATCTCAACCTTCCTAGCTTCCACAGAAGTGTATGGAAAACTTAGCTAAAAGCGCCATCAAGTGGAAATGTTTGGAAATACACAGGCTTTACCATCAACACTTTCAGCATTACACACACACACACACACACACACACACACACACACACACACACACACACACACACACACACACAAAGAAAGAGAGAGATAGACCATAGTATCTAGTTTCTTTGGATTATTGTAAAGTAAAAAAATAAATAAATAAAGGTGAGGGTGCATTAGCGCACGCAGCATGGGTGTCTTACACATCTGTGATGTTTCATTCAGATGACATTACCAAGCCACTTTCTGCATGCATTACATTTTTACGGCTCCAGAGTAAGGATCCGGGTGCTTTGGAGCATTATATGAAATGCCAAAGGAGACCTGAAACTCCTGAGCAGCTGAAATCTTACACCAAGCAAGAATGAGAAAACATGTTACTGTCAAAAATAGAGCTTAGTATTTCGCATTAACAGTTACAGAAGGGTTTCAACATTTCATATGCTGTCCCATTTTAAATATAGGGATCACCGGAATTTGAAATCATTGCATTAAATTTCCACAAACCATTATGATTTTACACGGTCCCAGCATGTTTTGAAAATGTGGTTGTGAATGAAGAAATAAACTAAAATAAACTGCAACATGTTCATCATGATGTTGCCTCTGAAAAGTAAAAGGTATCTGTCCTTTACAACTAAATGTTCTGCGTTGATAACGTACAGCAGGGTTTAGCCCTAAATAGCACCATTGTGGGCATCATAGCACAGAGGGAGTGAGTTAGGAGGAGGGCAGGCCTGCTGCACTCTGGCTGGGATCCATACTTAACACATAATCTATATTATCTTTAGTCTGCATGTTGACACATTCCGGATACGCTCAGTAAATAACCACAGAGACAAGTAAGACTTCATTTTCTTGTATTTCGCTGATGGGAAATTTTTAAAGTTTATTGATATGTTTTGTTGAATACTATAATGAATACTTTGCTTGATTTTTGTTTTATTGATCGGTTTTTGTCTGGTTTTGTCTCTTCGTGCTTTAGTGAAGAACTGATGAGGGTCTTTTTCCTCCTGATCTGTCATAACAGTATTTTTTGTGAGCTTTTGCTTTGAAAAATTAAATCTGCCAACTCATAAATACGAAGCAACATTTTTTGAGTAAAACGCAACTCAGATATTCAAATACATGAAATTAAAGGTTTATTTATTCAAATAATTGATCATTAAGGCAACTTTACTTGGAATAAACTGTATGTGTACAAGTGAATTTATTTACCAGATTCCATTTTATATTGTACTTATGCAACAAAATTACATCAGTACAAAAAATTTACATGTAATGTAATTGCTTAAAGTCTTACCCACACACACACACACACACACACACACACACACACACACACACACACACACACACACACATATGAATGCTATTTTCCGGCATCACTGTCTGCAAATGTTTATTTTATAACAAGACAGCTGCTGTCTTTGTTGTCTAGGTAATGTGTCCTGAACCGATTCATTAATAATTCATTACTTTTCTTTTGAAACTTACACCCTTGTATTTTACACCACTTTCAGAGTAAGGGTATCCCCCTGACATTGGCCTCCATCGAGCAAGTTGTCATGTTTTGATAAGAGACCGAGGGTGGTGAGGTCATCGTCTAGACTCCTTATCTTTACAGCCATTTAAAGGGTAGGAACCTTTGGTGGCTCTTTAACACATTTTTGAAGATTTGGATTTCGTCACTGTTTTAATGCATTTAACTATTTAATTCTTTAAAGACTTTAAAATTGATTGAGTGTATATTTTAAAAATTGAATCTTTTAAAAAATTAAAAATAGGAAAGAATACTTTCTTTTTGTTTGTTTTACAGCACTAATTGAATATAAAAATATTTTCGTATCCAAAGTCTTATTATTACTTTCCTTGTGTTTTCACCTGTCTCATCACTTTTCCCTCCCTTTTCTACGTAGCCCTTGTGGTTTCCCGTTCTTTTCCCCGTCACCTCTGTTTATTGCCAGCATTCTTTGGATCTTCTCTGACGTTTGCGCCAGAAAACTCCGGGAAGATGATTATACACTGTTTTATTTTAGGCTGTTTATTTTTGGGATAACCAATGTAAAAGAATAGTGGCGATGTCTTTGGTTCAGGCTGTGAAACGATCACTTTACTCTTTTAGAGAGGTCCCAAAAATTCATTGCATTGACAGCACGCCGGTGCATTAGTGCATACTGTTGGCCTGCTCATCTGTAAAGTTTCCATTACTACTGAACAATATGCAGTTTTTAGAGTAACTGCTGGCATTTGCCTGTAATTCCTTAATGTAAAAGAATGGGCCAAGCCACATTTTGCATTTATCCAAATGGCATGTGACATTTCAAACTGACTTGCAGTAGTATAGCTCCACGTGTCTTCAATAGTTCAGCTTATATTATATTGTAGCTTGGTATAGCCATGTCAGTGAAAGGGCACTTGGATACACATAAAACACATACAACTATACACACATAAACCCAGGGCCGCCTCCAGAAATTTTTCATAGGGGTGGCCATATAGGAGTCACTGAAAATATTGGGGTGGTACACCAAAAATAGCATTTTCAGTTTTATTATGCTGTTGTCAAATATTAATTACTTGAAAAATATAGCAAAAAACAGAGTAAGAAGATAATGATATGCCTAATTAATTTCCTGCTATTAAAGTTGTTAGATAGAAATGCATTGTTCATTCCCTGTGAAGAGCTTAGATCTGCATCTTTGACATTTCTCACCCAAATTGAATAATTTCTTTGCAGTTGAACCTATCACAGCTATTGGCTACAGCTAAATGCTTCCCTTTTCTTCCAGAAAACTGCTATACTGAAGACTGACTTGAGTATCAGGTGACTGAAAGTTGCTACAACACGAGGATGGAGACAGAACCAAATCCAGAAGAAGGAGCCAGCGCTCCAGACAATTCCAAGGAAGAAGGAAGTCTGGACACATCAGGGTTTGAAACAACTGCTGAGCGTCTGGTGGAGCTGATAAACAGCATGGAGGTGATGCTTTTGGACGTGGAGCAGTTGAGGACCACCTGCAGCGAACAGGTTTCTGAGCTGACGCATGCGGCAGCAGACCTCAGGAAGCAGCAAGAGGACCTTAAAGAGAGCTACTCCGAGCTGTCCCGAGAAATACAGGAAATCGTGGAATCAATGGACGACCTGTTCAGCACCAAGAGTGCCTTTGAACCTCAAGAGAAGCAAACACAGAAGCTGAACCAGCAGCTTTGAGGGACAAAAAGTGACTGGCAGATTTAGCTTCTCTTTGTATCGTGTTTGGGATTGTGGTTTTGAGTTTGGATGCTTACATTTTGAATGGATGGGTCGGTGATGGGGCGAGATGCTGAAGTTTGACATCGCTGAATCGTGCTTTATTGTCTTTGTGAAGATTTTTGTCATTGATTGCTAAGTCTAGCAACAACAATATTTTTTCTTATTTTTATAATATAATATCACTGACTTTATATATATATATATATGAATGCTGGATTTTCCCTTAAAATAATAGTTTCATTCAAACATTAACAATATGAACCCAACGAAGGCACAGTTTATTGCCTTTCTTTTTTGTTTGATTGCTATGTACTTGCATCTTAAAGGCGATGACAAGAGACTATAACGGCTCCTCTAGTATTGCAGCTCATTGGCACAGGAACGTTGATGTTCACTGATTCCCGGTGTTCCTTGTCCTCCATGCTACGTTCACATCCAGGCCATGCTCCACTGTGGTTTCTTGCTAAAAATAAAACTAAATAGAGCTTTAAACCTATGTTTACCTCCCACTAGCTCCCCTGTTGTGATTTACTCGTCTGTATTTAGTGGTTACAGGATGTGTGAAGGAGACAATCAATGGTGAGACACTTCAGAAAAGGCAATCAATGGAAAATTCCCTTTCACACTGAGTCACGTTTTAGTGCGCTTCGCAAATAATACAACTTTAAGATATGTTGCAGAGATGTATTTAAATTGCACGTGATGACACATGTAACCTCCTTTATATTATGAAATGAACCAAACTTTGATGATGTTCCATTTCTGCATGAATCTATACATTGCCTCTACATTTGCATACTTTCTGTACCTCCAAAACATTTGTGTGAATAAAAAGACTTGATGTAAATTAACAACATGAGTCTCGGTACGTGGAAGTTCTAACTTCAGACATTCTGCTCCAGCAAGAAACATATTTACGATCAAAACAGAACAAAAAAAATAGAAAACCAGTGTTTCTCTTAGTGGTTGCAATCTGACACTTTATGGGCTGTGGTGTCAGTAAGCACTGAGAGGGTGATGGAAGAAGAAATGCTGGGTGTCGTTGCCTGCTGTCACTGCTGAAGGGCACATCCCACCGTACAGCTAGTCAGCAAGCTGGGAATTCACTTCAATCAGGTAATTCAGTAATAAGATTTTACATGTTTTTTTTATCCAGCTTTTCATTTGTATTTGCATGGAATAGATACTTGTTAAGACATTAGCAGGGGTCCTGAGGGACTCAGGTTTCATCTGATACACATTAATCTGTTAATGGATGAATGAACTGCACGCACATCATTTGTGTTAAATGGAATTTCTTGCACTGTAAGTTGCGTTAATTAATTGCTATCCTCGTCAGTAGTTCAGCAGTGGTTTCAGGTGAACATGAATATCCTGCAAGTCCTGGGACTCCTACAGCTGCTGGCTGTACCTGCTTTTACAGTGAGTTTTTTTATGTTAACAATATTAATAGTATTGTATTATTACAGATTCATATCAACAGTACCTTATGACACAGGAAAATATTCCTTTGATTTTTTTTTAAGTGGTAAATGATTTATTTTCTGATGTGCAAGCATGATTAGTTCAATGTGTCACAGAACAGGTTTGTAAAAATGTTGTGTAATGTATAAGTGTTAGTTTGTGGCTAAATGCTATATTTTTTTAGCGCGTCTTGCATGCGTTTAGTGTGTGAGTTAGGGATTTGTGTCGGGTCCTGATGTCCCATGTGGGAGCACAACATGTTCCAGAGCCTGACTTTGAGTTTCTCTTATTTGCTTAGTTGACACGTTCGACCCACGACTACTGGGGTGAGTTTGGAGCCTATGGACCCTGCAGCCGCAGCTGTGGCACAGGGGTGGCAGTGAGAACCAGGAAATGTATTACTTCAAGGTAGGGCAAAGAAATGTATGAAGTAAAGAGCCTCATATTTATATTCATTGCTATTGTGTTTTGAATATGTGAACTTAAGGTAATTTTGTATTCATTTGTAACATTACAAAAGACTCTTTGTTAAGTCTAATTGTTGAATGTTGCCATTGTGTTTCTTAAATTTGTACAGTCTTAGTTCAAGCAGTAGGATCAAAGCCATTCCTTTGATCCTGACCACCTCTCCAACCACTCTGTGCTGGGGGAGGTTTTATTGTAGATACATCCTATCTGAAAGATCTGTTTCTTTTGATGTAAGCTTCCTGGGTTTACGACCCTTTGGTCAGCAGGAGGTCTGACACACACACACACACACCACACACACACACACACACACACACACACACACACACACACACACACACACACACACACACACACTCTTACAGAAGTTCACACATATACATAAAATGCTTTGTCTTAGAACCAAGGGGGCGTGGCTTTGTTCTGACGTGTTTTGTGTGAACTGTCTCTCAATAAAAGGTAGCAGGAGGAGGTCAGATCTGGGGGTCATTTTCGTGGTGGACACAGACGAGGCCTCCCTTGCGCAAATAATCGATCGATCGACTGTCTTGTTTTCTTCATGATGAATACGTCTCTAGAATTAGCGGGGCTTGTGGAAACACAGACCCAACACTCTTCTTATATCGTTTTTAATTTGTGTCTTTTTTAACACTTGAGTGTGCAAATGCCATTTATTTCATTTCCTTCTGCAGGACAGATGGTGGACATAACTGCATAGGATCCTCCAAATCATTCCGCACCTGCAATACACATGTAATTATCCTTTAAACCCATTTAAAAATACTTTCACAAAGAGAAAACGGATAGTATCTTGTTTAAATGTTCGATTTCCTGTCATGCAGGAATGCCCAGTGAGCTCAAGGGATTTCAGACAGGAGCAGTGCTCCCAGTTTGACAGAATGGACTTTAATGGAAAACGCTACACATGGTTGCCTTATTGTGGAGGTACATGTACAATATGTACAACAATATTTAAGTGTTTTTAGGTTTGTGACTCCCTAACCTTTTCTAGCAGCTAATCCATGTGAGCTCAACTGTGTCCCGAGAGGAGAGGATTTCTTTTACCGACACAGAACTGCAGTGGTAGATGGGACCCCGTGCTATGTGGGCCGCAGTGATATCTGTGTGGATGGCGTCTGCAGGGTGAGATTTGGAGCTGCAGATTAGACCTATGCATGTGACTCTTACTTAGTTTGAATATTTGGGTTTCAATGTACCAAATAATCCAAGAGCAGGGTGTGACGCTAGAATAGAGCATAAAAATGAATCTAAATAAGGTTGAAAGATCGTCTGTATATTTTTTACTTTTAAAGATGCAGATTGTTCAAAGCAAAGAAGTTTTTTCTTTATTGCTAACTCTTGTTTGTCAGTCAGATTTAGAAAAAAAGATTGTTGAAGTTAAAGGTAGAAAAAGAATACATAAGATATTTCTGTTGTTATCCTTAAAGTGGAAACTAGGCCCCTTTCTTTGATGCAGTCTTTTAGTTTTCTTTTAGTCATAGAGAATTTTACTCTCCTAAAAGGCGATTTATAGGACTCTTTTCACTTTTGTAATACCTGTTGGTTCTTTTTCTTATAGTTATTTCCTAATAATTTGTCTATTTTTTTTAGATACTGACCCGTGGAGAGTTTATGGGCTTGGATGAAGACACTAACTCAGTACACTCCTCTGCTCCAGTTGTTGTTGCTGCTCCTCGTCCAACAGAGACATTCACATATGTCTATAGAGCTAGTGTGTTTGGCGAGTGCTCTGCCTCGTGCAGCGGAGGCATGCAGCATCGTAGTGTGGAGTGTGTAGTTGAGGACTCAGTGAACCCCCATGTGGTCGACGAGACTTACTGCATTGCCCAGCGCCTGCAAAGGCCACCGAGTCAGCAGGCCTGCAACATGCATCCATGTACTGCAGAGTACAGCGTGTCCAGCTTCAGTAGAGTATGTCTCCTACGGTTAAAAACTATCATATTTGAACTATCCTAATGATATGAAACAGTTATGTCTACTTAGACCATCTTTGCCATTTTAATTTTTTTTTTTTGGCTGATACAACACCTATCTTGGATAAAGTATGACCTTGTTCATATATGATTGTTACACTGCTTGTATTTATCAACTCAAATCAGTTAAAAATATTAACTAAATTGTTGCATTTGATGGTCAGTGTTCAGCAACCTGTGGAGAAGGACAGCAGACAAGGGAAGTTGTTTGCGTTGGACCAGGAGGCGAACATCTGCCTGATCATGCATGCAGTGGACTGGTTCGACCTCCTTCTGTCCAGGCCTGCCGCAGACCTGCCTGTTACACACGCATAACCTGGCATATGACAGAGTACGGCCTGGTAAGGGAACAGAAAGCAAAAAAAAGCTTTAACTGTTATTTTCCTTTCAGCGTTACTATCTTTGTTTATCTCGCAGTGTTCGAGAAGTTGTGGTGGTGGTGTGAGGGAGAGGAGAGTTGCCTGTTTTGACACTGATTTGAACCCCTACCCTGAAGATCGTTGTGGGTTAGCTCACAGACCACATTCTGTGGAGGAATGCAACACGCAGCCCTGCCCTGGGGTGCAAAGTGAGTGACATCTGAATGCAGCAAGTTCTGATCATTTTTACTTTTATTTATTTATTTTATATTGTCAACCTTGTTTCTTTTCCAGCGGCCCCAAGTGTGCAGGACCCAAGGCCAGGTGGAAGCACTATTAGAGGATTTGTGCCCCATATTCCAGAAGAACCTTCAGGTATGATGAGTGCAATTTGTGGAAATGTTACCATCTTTCTTTGCATGGTTGAGCATGCAATTTCTTTATATGTGGCACTACAACATAAGATCACCCTTGTGTGTAATAGAACCTCATAGAATTATATCATCCCAATAGAGCACTTTTCTCTCAGACTGCAGGCTTGCTTGTGGTTTCTAGAGATTTTAAAAGCAGAATGGGAGGCAGAGCCTTCAGCATTCAGGTCCCAGTTTGGATTTGGGGGAAGTTTACTTTAAAGACTAAGCTCAAAATGTTCTTTTTTTGATGAAGCTTATAGTTTAGGCTGGGTTGGCTGACCCTAAAGCAGATTGTAGCTATACTGCTATAGGGCACAGACTGCTTCATGAACTTGTCTACTCACCTCTTTTCATTGCCCACATGTTTACACACCACTGCAGCACCAAATCTTTGTCTTCTCTGTCCCGTAGTCTGTATTTAGTCCTGTCTCTATGCTCTTACCCACTATTGCAAGATGGTTGTTCATATGGGGTTGTTTGATTTTTGGGGTTCGCCTTATAGTAAAAAGCTCCTTCAGGCATTTTTTCTTGTGATTTGGTACTACTGAATTGAATTGAACTAATTTGAACTGAACTGATATTACAGTGCTGAATAATGAATTAATGAACATTTAGAGACACTCACCCACACAGACATAGCAGTGTTTCACAACTCAGAGTGCATTTTATATATGTGAAATCAAAGCCACTGTAAAAAAACAAAAAAACCCCAAACGTTTCTTAAGACGACGCAGACAGTAATTTTAGTATTGTAACACAGTTGAGGTTTCTTCACGCAATAAAGATAATGTACGCTTTCGGCATGTTGTAATTGTTGCTGTCTAGACTATGACTGTGCTGCCCTCCCATTGCCTTCTTGTATTTCATAGACAAACAGAAAATTCCAAACTTGTTTTAGCCTAATTTCCAACTTAGATAACTGGAGGTAAGCCACAAGCTCAAACACAGCCATTTCTTTTTCCTTCTACGAAGCGTTTTCTGTATTATAAAAGCTGTTTGGTTTTTTTTTTTTAACTAAAAACAACAACAACAAACTTTTCATGACTTATCTTTTATTACCTACAAAGATGACTGAGAACCTACACAGACTTATTAAGAAACGTTATTCAAAAGCTTTTAAAATTAGAAAGGAATGCATGCATACAGTATATTTGACCTCATTTGTTTACTTGCTTTAGTTTCAAGGCCAGCTACAAACAGTGTGTATGACTCTTACCCTAATGAGGTGAGACCTCACTGTACGCAGTCGCCTTACGGCTGCTGTCCTGATGGCCGTACCTCTGCCACGGGGCCCAGGAACCTGGGATGCTCACAAGAATGTGTCCGCACTAGGTAACATGAGTACCTCTAAACACTATTTTGCAGAAAATGATGTGAAAGTGTAGAGAAATCTTTTCCCCATTTTCAAACTGAAATTAAAAAAGAAAAATCATCGTCTCTGTTTTAGGTATGGCTGTTGTTTGGATGGGGTGACACCCGCTCAAGGATTCGGACAGGCTGGCTGTCCTGAGTACCAGACTGTGGTAGGAATCACATTATTAACTGATTTTATGAGCCAGTCACAGTTAACCTTTCTGAATAATATAACAGCTGTGTATATAAATCTAGTGATGACCTTCACTTAGTAACAAAGTATTTGCCAAGTTTACTAAATTTGAGTGTTCACCAAAAAGATATGGTCAAATAGAAGCACTACAGGGATAAAATATCATGTGTTTTTAGAGCATTATTCACAATAACAACCATAAGAAAGTATCTTTGTCTCTGCAAAACAATTATATAATCATATATGTAACGCTTAATATTTCTTTCACCATTTAAAATGTCTAACAATTGCAGCTCTTTTTCTGCAGACCACACTACAAATATAATGTATATATTGCTTTGTTTTCTCCTATATCAGCAGCACCCATCACCCACTCCTCCATCCACTGGCAATTTGTGCTCCCTGCCTCGTGATGAGGGCCCCTGTGAGACCTGGACGGTCCGGTTCTGCTATAATCCTGCCACTGCCAAGTGTACCGAGTTCTGGTATGGAGGCTGCCAGGGCAATCCCAACAACTTTGTGTCCCTGGAGGCATGCCAACGAGAGTGTGGAGGTGTGGCGAGGGTGCCTGTATCCACATCTCCAAGAGAAACTACAAGGAGAGTGACACTCAGGGACCTTCTGAGAGCAAGGCCATAACCACACATGTCACTGATATCTCCAAAAGTGCCCAGTCATGCTCTCTGTTTGAAGAAAATCAAGTGATTTTGGTACACAAATGTAGCCTATAGTATACACACCAAATAAAGAAAAAAAGAACAACAAACCACATTACATATTTCATTTAAAAATATGATTTGCCATCACAAATATTATAGCTATTTTTCCTGGTTTCACTGTCTTTCAGTTTGTTTTTGTGATCTCCACTATGTCAGTGTATGTGTTGTTGCCCTGTAGGTCGGGATTCAAACAAAAAATTATTTCATTGTAATTATTAAATCATATATCCAATTAATAAATGTTCAGCTATGTTGAAATTTTGAAAAAAAATGCTTTATTTGCATCTTCATTTCTTGTAGGGCATCATTACTGACATGTCAATACACGAGCAGGATAATAGTAAAAGCTACTCAGAGGTGCTCCCAAGTTTACAAGGGGTCACCACAACAGCTAGCTCCACTTGTATGCTGGATGTCTTTCTTGATGCAGACCTGAAGGGTTTTGTGTGTCCTCCCAGGGATGAACCAGAGATCTCTCTATGTTAAGTGAATGTGTAAACAGCAAAACAATATAATGACTACAATTTAAATTTACATTTTTCCCCATTAAATAATCAGCAAGTGAGTTCACAAACTCATTAGAAAAGTAATTTATTGGGGGGCCGTTTTCCCTCAAACTTCTGTACAACTAGAAGTCTTTTATGCAGGAGCCTTGCAGGGGCTGACAATGCGTTCAGCCCTTACTGGCTATTAAAAGTAAGGCAGCTTTAGAGCGCTTCTCTGCTGGCTACACTTTTCAGATGCACAACCTGGGTCCATTTAAATAATGTCTATGATAATTTAAAAAATGAGAATTTAGAAAAAATAATGTGTACCTTTACAAACAAAGTCTGCTGGAAAAAAAATAATCACATTTTAATCATTACTGTTGCATTATCGGACTTTTATTTTGAAGCAAAAATTATACTTTGAAGGGACTCGATTTTACAACCGGAAGAGGTCTTTTTCACTTCCCCTAAATTACTTTTAGACGAAACAGCTACATCGCACGGGGTTCTGAGAAGTTACACTGAATACGAGTTTTTTCAGTTTTGCATAGCCAGTAAATAGCGAGGCTTTGGGTTGAAAACAGAGATGGTAAGTGTGTTTTATTTTACATCTAAAGAGCTAATAATTCTCAGTTTAGGCCACAACTAGCTTGTGCTAATCACACACAGCTAAGCTAATAAGCTTCGAGGTTAACGCTTTGCTATTCTTATCAAACACGCATTTTTGCCCACCGCTTCGTTGTTTCTTAAAACTTAATTTCACCATCTAATCAAATTACATATTTCTATTAATGTGAGATGTGGCTGAAGTAACGTTATGGTGGATGTTTTGTAAAAGACTGATGAAGTCGGTGGTCTGCAGCTGAATGACCATCCTTACACTGGTGTTGGAAAATGTCTGGGCAGAAGGTTACACAAGTCTCAAAAACTAGCAAAAAACTCGCATCAGTTGCCCAATTAAGGTGCTTTGGTTTGACACAGAGAAACTACGTGGTGGTGTGTATTAAACATTATCAATCATTTTACAGTCGCACACAATTTTGCTTGTCCAACCAACCAAGAGACCAGAGGGCCGCACATACGCTGACTATGAGTCAGTTAATGAATGCATGGAGGGTGAGTCTGTTTAATGTTTTCATTCATAAATCATCTCGCAGTTTTTTTTAAATATTTACTTTCAGTGTAACTAGTAGTAGCAGCAGATGCAATTTTATTGAATTCATCATCTATTGTGATTCCTCATTCTTTTAAAGGATATTTTTCTCATAGTAAATACATACGAATGATAGGCCAGTGAATAATAAATTAATCCTGGTACCAAGTATTGTCTGTGTATGGTATTATGTGGTTCATCTTAATTTGTGGAGAAAAAAACTAAAACCCAGACTGATAGTAAATCACTTTCTAGTTTCTGATACTATATATATATATATAATATATATATATATATATATATATATTTATATAATTATGTGACTCTTATAACTGTAACTCAGGAAAAAATCTTTTAGTCAACTAGGGCTGGGCCATATTATACCGTTCACGGTAATACCGGTATAATGTTAGGCAACGATAGAAAATGAAATATCGCGATAGAATATGAGTAAAACGCGCATGCGCAGTGCCTTTGTTTTCATACGCACATGGCCGATTGTTGAGTGAAACAAATGAACCAGAATTGGTTTGTAAAAATGGTGCAACTTCAGTGATGTGGAACTGGTTTGGTGTTTGTCCGTCAGATACACGACAAAGCACATTTTTTTGCAGAACATGCAAGCGGCTGTCGTTATTGTCGATTTTTTCGGACTAAGATGCTCTTAAATCTGGGAGTAACCTGGTCCTAAACTCCGTATACTTCAGGTCAAACAACACTGCAGCATCACTGAGAGTTAAAAACTGTCTAAATTCTTTCATCTTTAATAAAACGATCAGCATTGCTGCTTTACCAGGTGTAACTATGAAGTTTAACTTCCAGGCATCCATGAAAACAAAATTTATTACATTTAACGGAGTTAGAAGTTAGCAGGAAGCTAGCGGAAGTTAGCTCGCTAGTTTCGCTAGTTACCTAAGCATGATATAGCATGTTCTGACTGAGAGATTTCTGAAAAAATTCAAACGTACAGCTCTGCTATCACTTCCAACATAAATGAAGACAGGAAACTAAACAGCAGTGACGTTTGTAGGGTTACTGAAGTTGGGCTAGCTGGTATATAATGATGTGCTACGTGATCGCTAGCGACACAGCTATGTTAGCATAACATAAACAGTGAAGCTGGAGGACGAACACTAACACTTTTCCACTTATAAAAGTTAACGTTAAGGTTCCTATGGTTAGAGACAAATGCAATCGCATGGCAGGATGCTGTAAACGGACCAAACTTCAGTCAGGAGAACAACTGAGATAATCCATCCACAATACGAGGTTAGTCATTAATATACTGCAACAACATGGGAATAGAGCAGCTGCCAGAGAATTCAACATTAATGAATCAATGGTACAGAAGTGGAGGAAGCAAGAAGAATGAGTTTAATAAAGTTTGATTTATCTGACTGCTTTGTTTCGCTTAATGTGCCTTATAATCCCGTGCACCTTATGGTCCGAAAAATACGTACTGCACACTGCAGTTTAATGTTGCAAAGCACCTCTTTTTAACTTCAGTGGATATTATACATGGTTATGCTCAGGATATGTCAGCCCATTTCTACTGGAAATGCCTTTTGGTTAAACTTTCAGCAAGGAATTTGCATTTGCACTGTTACATTTTTATAAAGCTTTAATGTACATAAAAACCAGCTTCTTGTTTAAGTGAAAATAAATGGAAGGTTGTCTTTTTGCGCTAGTAATGTTGTGGAGTTGTATTTTGTCTCGCATCAATTATATCGTCAGTTATATCGTTATCGCAAATTTTCAAATATATATCGTGATAAATATTTTTGGCCATATCGCCCTGCTCTAATGTCAACATCATTTTTATATAGCACAAATAACATGTAAACTTGTGCTTACTATAAAAGTTTAAAAATAACATCAAAAAAACTTAGTAAAAAAATAAAGAATTCAAAAGGTTTTATACCTGTTTTTGAATGTTGACACAGCTCTAATTGACCTCAGGTCAGCAGGCAGCTTGTCCCAAAGAACAGGGTGACTGTGACTGAAAGCACTCTCAGCACACAGACTAAAAGTATACACTGGAAACCATTTGCTTTACATTAATGGGTTTTGAACTGCAGTTGAGCTCTATTGAACAGAGATTAATCAAGGTTCACTTACACAAAGAATAATCATTAGTATGATATTCAGAACTGACTGCGATTAAAAATACGTACATTTACTCAAGTTATGCATTCCGCAGTTATGGGGTTATCATATACCTTTTAATGCCTTTATTATCTGTAAAGTAAGAGGTGTTTACAATTGTGTTGTGTGTCTTGAACTGCAGTATACACTTTTCAGATTCAGACTACTGTATTAATCCCAGAGGAAATGATGTGGTCACTGTTGCTTCAAGACAGTAAGACCAGTAAATAACAGATTAACGTACCAGTTAAATATAAGGTATTTCAAAATAGCTCTAATAAATACAGATACAAATACAGAAAGTGACGCCAAAGGTTTGTTTGTTTTCACTTATTACTTTATTCCCTTTATTAGGGCCTCTTTATTTATCTTGTCTTTCTCTTTCAGTGATTACTGCACACTGTAAAGTCTATGTAAATTACGCTTGTTTTTTGCTGTTTTAGCTTTTTCCTGTGGATTGCATTTTGTTGTTGTTTTTGCTTCCATTCAGCATGTCATTTGCCTCTTCCCCAGGTGTTTGCAAAATGTATGAAGAGCACCTCAAGAGGATGAATCCAAACAGTCCCTCCATTACTTATGACATTAGTCAGTTGTTCGACTTTATTGATGACTTGGCAGATCTGAGCTGTCTTGTGTAAGTATAATTAGCTGTGTATGAATTTGAATGCAACACAACATTCCCTTTGGATGCATTGGTCACGTTTCAATAAAATATTTTACTTTTTATACAGATACAGAGCTGACACTCAAACATATCAACCATACAACAAAGACTGGATTAAGGAGAAGATATACGTCCTCTTACGGCGTCAGGCTCAGCAAGCTGCAAAGTCAGTTTGACAGGGGGAATTATTTCATATTGTACCAAACATGAGGAAGAGAGATTGGGGGAAAAATTGGGGGATGTGAAAAAATTTGGGGATTTTCTTTTTGGAAATGTCATCCTTGGCAGGATGTGTTTGTAATTTTTAACGCAAAGCCCTTTTCAGACATGGTTCCACCAGTGTGCTTAAGTGACGGCACTTTTTCCATTCAGGCCACTTTTTGCAGTTTCATTCAGACACGTAAGCTCTTTTCACATGTGCACTGCAGCCTGAAGTCTTTCTTGACATTACCTGAGAGAGGTGCATGTAAGAATACAAAGGTGTGATGCAGTTGGATTGGACATTGAATGGATTTCAGCCAGGAACAAAATTCATGTAATGTGCATAGGAACTTAGTCATATTATAGTCATATTGTGTCCTTTCTATAGGATCATGCAGCTCCCTCACCTAAACCACATGGAAGGCTTGCTTTTGTGTTACATGTGAGAAAGAAATTTACACAATGTCCTGATATGCCTGTTCCAACATTTTAAGTTTGTGTGTGAAAACAGCTATACTGGCAACTGTGGCAAAAGTGTCATTGATCTCGCAGGACATTTGCCATATATGAATTCATTCGTATTCATTACCTTTTGGAAGTAATACATAAAAAATCTGATGAGGTTAGTAATTTAATTATGAATCTGATGTGTGCCATCAAAAAAGACTACATGTATGAAAAGGGCTTCTTTTCTTTTTCTTTGTAAAGACTGCATTGCCCATTTTAACAAAGGGAATGTTTTCACATTGTTTTCATTGGCAAAAGAGGTTTGGAATAATTGGGGTGAAACTGTACATTTTGGGCTTTATACTGAAAAATTGGGTCATGGTTGGGAACCTGCATGTTTAAGTTGTTACACTATGATGGGAAGAATGGAGAAATACTCCACGGGGTAGAAAAACTTTTTTGTGTGTGTGTTTTTCAGTTTCCCTAAAAGTTATGTGAATTTTATTTCATTTTTTTTCTATGTACATTTTCCTGGGTGGTTGAATTTCAAGACGTTGTGGACTTTGAAAGCAGCCGTTTTATTTTTGAAGTAGATCAGTGGCTGAAGACTGATGATCACATGATGACCCAGGATATTTGTTACTATAATTAATGGACGTTTTTGAGTTTTCATTATGTTTTAAAAGCCCACCATTGTGATATAAAACGTTTTTGTAATTCTGCTGTGTTGCATAACAACTGATTTCAACTCTGCATTTCTGTTTTCTTTTATTGAAACAAAATAAACGATTGTTTCTGACTGGTGTCCACTCATGTATATGCGACCATTAGTGCGATGAACACTGAATTTTTATACACAATGATAGTGTGACTGGCAGGTGAGTATCGCAAAAGTTAGACCCATTCATGCTGGACGTGGTCTCAAATACAGTTTATTTTCTCTGTTACTGTCTCTTTAAATGTGGCGGGCTGCCCTGTTGTTGCCGTGCTGGAAACCCCGTACTGACTGTGAAGGGACCCAAGATGGCTGAATACTCACGGGGGGCACTTAGCAATTATCTGAGCAAGACATCGGCAATGAATGGCAAATAGCAGTATAATGTAAAGCGTAACCTTCAAGTAATTATACGACTCCAGTTTGTTGGTTTGCACAGTTTTGGGGATGCATGAGTAAGAGTAAGGAGAGAGTGGTCTCTCCGCGGCCCCGAGCCAGAACATGGCGGAACACTTGGGGAAGAAATAGCAGCTAACGTTAGCTAGCTGGCGTATTATTTAAAGAAGAATAGAAACATTGTTCCAGGCTTAAAACAGGTGTCTGTTGTCCGCAAGTATAAAGTAATGTTATCGACAGCTAACTCTATAGTTAATCTGCTTCAAATGGTAGTTTAACATTGGATATGTGGAGCATAGGTACTTAGCGTACTAGCTAGCGAGTTAACTCGTAAGGGTTGATAGCTAACGTTACCTGTAAGCGTACAAACTGTACATATAAGCAGGAGTGTTTCGTGAGCCAGTCATCGTAATATCTGCTTCTTTTTCAGTACTCTGTTCTCAGCTGTATATTGCAGTGACATTCGTTGTTTTGTCGTTTAACGCGTAAGATAACGACGTCCTCTGCTCTTTAATTTTGTCGTTAGCTTCCTACAATGGTTTGTACGCGGATTCTGCGTGGCGCCTTGCCTATAGCGCTGGCAGTGTAAGTTTTGAGGCAGCTCGTCAAGAAATGCGAGATATTGCAGTAGTAATTTTAACAACTATTGCGGAATCCTGCTGGAAACTTGTTGAGGCGATCCACTTTTAAGTTGCTTTTAGAACTTATCCTAAGTGACCCCCCGCCGATTCATATTTAGTTAATACTCTTGTAGAAGTGAGCAGCTGTAAAAAGTGAATTGAAGTTGTGGCGTTACTAGGTGAAGAAAGCACCCCGTAAAAGGCCCGGAAGGGGAGAACGGGTTACAAGAAACTGCCAGGATGACGGACACTCGTCGGCGAGTCAAAGTCTATACCCTCAATGAGGACAGACAGTGGGATGACCGTGGGACCGGGCACGTCTCGTCGGGCTATGTGGAGCGCTTGAAAGGCACGTCTCTCCTGGTGCGAGCAGAGAGCGATGGTAAGCGAACGTAGGAATACCACACGAAGATTGTAGTAGCTCAGTTATTACTACAAAAACAAGACGTTCCGCACTCATTTTAACCACCTGTATCACCTGAAATTTGTACACGTATTACTTATTTGAAGCAAATGCAGTAACCTACAATTTTGGGCTACCTTTGTTTTAAACCTGACAGGTTCCCTTCTGCTGGAGTCCAAAATTAACCCAAACACAGCCTACCAGAAACAACAGGTCAGTACATAACATGATGAACATACAAAACTGAT